TTTTCGGAGTTCGGAGTTCGACTCTCACCACGTCCCTGGAAGTACAGCGCTCAACTTTAAATTGTTGTTGTAAATTGTGGTTGTACCACGATTTACAACAACAGCAACAAAAAAAATAACAAATGAGTAGCCTTCTTGACTGTAGTGGCCCCCTCGGGCCTTTAGAAGGTGAGTAATTGAAAAAAAAACAAAAACAAAATTCTGGGACACATGCCAGATTATCAACTTTTGTTACATAACGGATATTTTTCTCATTGAGGTAATTGGTCACACTTCTAGCATAATGTGAAGAGGCCAAGTCAGGCCAGAACGCATAATTACCATCACTGTGATGTTTGTTGATAAAAGAAACCAATCTTTTGATGATGCAATCATTTTTGTACACTTTTTGGTTAATTTCCAGTCTCACAGAAACAATAAATGGTTTTGAGATTCCACAAGGAGCTATGGTAATCCACACAAAAATATATTTTTTCAAATTTGCTCTTGCACTTATATTTTACGTTTTTTGGTGCATTTTTTGCTTCATCTGAGAAAAATCCAGTATTAGAATTTTTATTTGTAATTTAAATTTAAAATAAAACTCATCGTCAATGACAAAGTCAAGGTTTCTGAATTAGTCACAAATTCAGAAACCGTGACACTTCAGACTTCCACACTTCAGTTGCAACTGCTTTAACTGTTTATCAGTGCAACCAGGGACTTTTTTTTTTTAAATAATAAATATTTGTTTTATTTTTTAATGTTTTTACAATGTAGGAATGGTCACACTTGAATTTATTTGTATTTGAATTGCTGAAGTTCCAGACTGGTTGTTCAAAAGACCTTTCAGGCGATTGATGTTCTTAGTAATCATAATTTTTAGTTTTTTGTTTGATCCAGGCTTACAAGACTTTTGCTCATTGTTCTTCCATTTTGCCAAATAACGTTTAATGGTTTTTTCAGGGTGATTAGAGGCAACAAAATACTCTACGATGCTCTTCGTTTTAGCAGTAGGATGCAAATTACAATAGTTGTACACTTGTTCAATTAATGTAGTTGGCTTCATTTTTTGATAACTTTTTTATTAAATAATCTAAGTAAACAAAACTTTCTGTAAAATATAACTAACACTTATAAATATAAACTATAAACAAAACAACTAGAAAAGTAAGACTGGATAACTAAAAATTCAATAAGTTTTAGCTTCTCAAAGATTGTGCCAAATTTTTGTCACCAGGGGTTATGCACAAAAATAGTTGTCAAACTCTGAGATAATGTTGAAAAAAAATCCTACTAAAGACAGATCTCAGGTAATTTGGATAAAAATTAATTTTAGTCTAAACATAAGAGATAATGTGGTTTTCAAAAAAGGTTTTTCATATTTAAATACCAAAAACCTGATAAAAAATTTTTATTTACAAAAAGAAACATCACAAACAAAATCGCAACACTGTTTGATCCACTTGGATTTTTGTTAACCTACAGAATAAGAGCAAAGGTGCTTTTAAAGCAGATGTGGATCAGTGGAATTGGAGTTGGATCCTAAACTAACTGAACTTCAACTCCAAAACTAAATGTAATTGTAAACTAACCTAAATGAGTTGACTTACAAAGTTGATGTAAAAATATCAGGATGTATTTAAAATCATAGTAAGGGCTGGTACTTTCTTTAAACGTGTTAAAAGAAGCTTCAGAAATAGCATATGGTACTGTCTTTTACACAAAATGTCAATATGAGAAAGTTCAACCAAGCTTATCACAGAAAAGTTGAGAGTGGCACCCTTATCAGCAGTATGTATCCCACAATTAAAACTACTTGGTGCAGTATTAGAATTAAGGTAAAGTCACAGTGTCTCAGAAACCTACAAGATTGGGGGAAACATAATCAAAGTAGAAGACTTAAATCATATGTCGCTAACAGAATTAGAGAAATGCATACAGAATCAAGCTTAAGTCAGTGGAGATATGTGCAAACCAAAAAAAAAACTGCTAATAATATAACAAGAGTTTCAGTATTGCAGTAATTGCAATAACAAAATTTAAAAAAGTTAGATGGTGGAAAGAACCAGAGCTTTTGGTTGATCAAAAGAAATGGCTAGAAAGAAAGTTATGGAAGCATGGCAACAAATATAAAAGCAAAGAAGAATAACGGTAATTTGATGATTTTATTGCTTGTAAAAGCTTGAAATAAGCGCTGAACATCGGACATTGTCTGGCACTTGTCTGGTAAAAAATGACATCTATGAGCTATTTTGTCCGACCCATATTTTATGTGCATTTATTTTCTAATCATTTTAGTTGTTTCAAAATTATTGATAAATTCAGTATTGTATATAAAACTTTATTTTTTAAACTTTTTATATTTTATACATAACAAAAATTGAAGTTTAACACACAGCTACGTTAATAAAATAAGTCATTTTTTGTGTTAATTCGTTTTTTAAAAGACGCCAAAGCATTACATTTTTTTGAATTATATAGCCCAGTTTTTATCATTTATATTAAAACGTTGCAATTAGTTTATAACTTCAATTTGTAATTTGGTATTTATTTTATTTTTTTGTGTGATGGATTTTATAAATTTTAAACAAATATTTTAGCTTTTAAAACCCCTTTTAAAGTTATTTTATAAAAATTTTAAGGTAATAGTTATTTTAATGCTTATAGAAACCAGCACTTTTTATTACACTATTAAATTTGAGTTGTTGCATAATGTTTGTTTTCACACTAAAAATTTTTGCTATTAAAAGTGTTTATAAAATTAATCCTAGAAAAAGTTTAAAAAGATTTTTAAAAAATTTTTATAAATGTAATTACGTATAATATTCTTTGATAATTTAAACAAAATGTGTTTATTTTAAATATTATAAGTAATTTGCTACTTTATAATAATACTTTAGGTAATAAGTAAACTTAAAAATTTATTTATTTAATATATTTACATTAGTAATGTATGTATTTAATAGTTTTGTATTTTTATTATAAATTTTTATTATTTATTTAATGATGTATTTAATAGTTATATAATTTATGTATTTAATTTATTTACATAATGATTTATGTATTTAATAGTACAAAGTTTTTTGCTTAGTATAGTATATTTTAAAAAACGTAGTATATTTTCCTTTTCAAATTTTAGTTTTTTGAGCTTAGATTTTTTCTTTTTCTTTAAGATTTTCTTTTTGTTAGATAATTTTTAATCTCACAAATTTTCTTTTTATTTTCAGCGCATTTTGAAATAGCTAGAGTTTTCAAAACAAATTGTGTTGTCAAATTGTAAAAATAAAATGTTTTATGCATGATCAGGAATGGCATTCGATTGCATTTCTTTAATTTTTATTTGACATGTCCATCAAACTTGAGTATTTATTGAACAAATTGTCCGAAACAAGAAAGTTGGTTATTTTGAAACCTATCAGCCCTTATCAATGTTAATGAGTCAGTTTAGGATAATGCAAGGAAGAAAAGAAATATGCAAATGAGAAACTCAATGCCATAATTGTTGAAGCCAAAAAGCTAAAGGTAGCAATGAAATTAAGATACCAAAGAAAGATTAGGCTAAAGATGTCATTACATTGTTTAAATTACATAAAAATTATGTTGCTATCTAAATTTCTATACTGCATATTATTAACTTTAATTTTTTTGTTATGTTATTTTATCGTTTTCATTACTATTTAACAATGCCTTAGAAATCTAACAATGTTTACATTGAAAATTAACAATGCATATTAATTTTAATATAGTATTTATACACTGTATAGATACTATACCAAAATATGTTCGTTTTCAAAAACAACTATTGACTTTGGTGGTCTGTTTAATATGATGCAAGGGAGAGATATGCAAAGAACTAAACGAGTTTGAGAAAATGGCCTTTAGAAAGAGTTTTAGAGACATATCCTGGAGCTGATGGATATACTTGTGTTGTAATAGCAAAGTGGGACATAGCAAAATCAAGTAACTGATATCTCAAATATGTTTGTTGGAACACAACAGTAATAAAGAAGTAAAGCACCAGCCTAAAGAAACAAAAAATTAGTGTTAAATATAATGGTAACACACCTGGGACACATCAAAGAGGATGAGAATGGTGCAAAGGAATTACCAAGTAAATGGCACAAAGAAATTACCAAGTTCACATTTACAATTCTGGAAAAATTTTCAAAAACAATTAATAAGAAATGCAAAAAAAAATTAAAAAACAGTAATTGAATAACAGTACAAGAATAACAGTTATAAAGTAAAAATAGAAAAAAATAGAAAAAAAAGTTGTGTAGAATATTATTTGTAATTTATAATTATTTAAATAAAACATACTAAACATCTTGTGGTTCATTCTCAGAGCTAATTACCTATGCTTTGTATCACAGTGGGCTTTGAAACTGGTATTATGGTGGGTGATTAAACAATTAAGAAACAGAACTAATATTTTGACACTGTAATTAATCAGATTATTTATTATACGAGTGGAAAGGTGGTAACTGATATTATTACTTTATAAGTTTTTATTTTAAGACTAATAATACACTACATATTTGCAAAATTTAATTTAAACATAATAATTTAAACATAAGGTTTAGTTTGCTGCTCAGCATATCAGTGATTCAAGGCGTAGGGTTTTACTTTTACATTAGCATCTCTTTTTAGTTAGCATATAAACGTGCTTCCACACACACTATAATAAAGTTACTACCATAAGATACTCATATTTCCAACATTTTCTCCTCAATATTTCCCCCTCCCATTTTTTTTAAAACTTGAAACCAGTCACGCTACTCCATTCTTTTGTTTTCTCACTTAATAACTTTACAATCTAGAATCTACTCTAAGAATCACCTCTTCAAAGTCTACCTGACCAAATAGCTCAGTTGGTCACCTGTATGCAAATATGGTGTCACAGAAGCTAATATTTAGTAAATATTAAACACAATTAAACTATTCTATACAATAATTTTTATAAATGTTAAAAAAAATTTGCGGATTTTGATTACAAAGTTTATTATGTTTATTATTACCTTCACTTGATATTTTAGTAGGTGCTGGAGGTGTGGTGGGTTTCGGAACTGGTGACGTGGTGGGTGTTGGAACAGGAGGCACTAAAAGTCCACATTTAAAACAAATTAAAACATTGAGTTTTAAAATAATTAAGAACAGAACTATTTTTTTAAACTTGTTAATTTAAACCAAAATTTGTAATAAGCAATATGTCTAATTATATATATATAAATGAACAAATATATACACATATACACATATATATACATATATACACACTGTCACGCATACACACATTGTAATAAATAATTTAATTTTCAATTAGACTTGAAGCTTAAAACTCAAGTTTAAATGTTTTTATTAAAAATCGAATAACAATAAAAGATACAAGAAAAAATAACTTTTTTTAAGTTATTTTTTCTCATATTTTTTATTGTTATTTGATTTTTAAATAACAATACAAAATTTTTAAATAACAAAATTTTTAAATAACAAAATTTTTAAATAACAATACAAAATGTGTGATGAGTTAACGAGTGTAACTTTAAAGCTAAATGACAGCGCTTACTTACTAGATTAATTTTAATGATTTTTTTTAATGACAATATGGTCATACTTTTTATTTAAGTTTTATTATATTGTATATGTATATATTGTATATGTATATATTGTATATATATAGTATATATATATCAACTCTGATTTTTTTTGTTATTTACTTTGTTATTACTCTTATTAATTTTGTTAAGATATTTTATTATTTTTTTGTTTAATTCTTTGACTGAATTCATAATCATCTTAAACAGATTTAAAAAAAAAGTCACCTATAAATAAAAATCAACAAGTTCTAGATTTTGGCTAAATAAGTTTTCAAGTTATCAATTATCATACTAAAATGCCTGGTAAACGGACATGCTTTTTCTACAAATAAGAAGCTTATTAAAACTTTAAGCAAAAATAGAATTTGATTAAATTATTAATAAAAAACATGGTAAATGTTTATTCAACCGAGTTTATTGTATAAAAAGCTGAACAAGTTAAACTGAACAAGATAAATTGAAAAAGATAAAACAAAAAAAAAAATCACTGATCAAAACAATTGACAAGTTGAAAAATTGCATTTTACTGCTAAGAGATTAAATGTTCTTGAGAAAACTAAAGTTGTACCTTCCATCTCTATATCATGGGCTAGTGTTTTTAGTGAAAACACGCCATCCAAAAGGTCAACTGAACAACTTAATTTAATGAACGCTGTTGTTGTCAAGGCAAAAGAAAGAGGAAAATGGGAAAGTAACATTGTAGTGTTTGGTATCAAAGCCTCTAAAGCAGCAGATTTGTCAAGCGCTAGAGAAAATGATAAAAAAAACTATTGTTGAAATGATGAACTCAATTAATGCAAAGTTCAAAACTAAACAAATAACAAAATTATAATCAAAATCCGACAAAGAATCACTTTTTGTCATTTTTCTTAATGACTGAAATGAGAGAAATTCTATGCTAAAAACTTCAAAAATATTAAAAAATTCAACTGAGTTTAATAAAGTGTTTATAAATCCTGATTTAACAGTGACTGAGCAATTCAAACCAAAGTTATTATGTGAGGAGTGTAAATAAAAAAATTCTGAAAATTCTGAACACTTTGTTTATTTATATGGCATATGAAACAAAAAAGTCATCAAAATCAACATACAGCAAACTTTTTATAATTGTAAAAACAAAAAAGATGACAGCCACATTTAACTAACTTCTTTAGTTATTCCAAAATCATTGGATAAAAATCATGCCTAAAGCATTAGTTAAGAATGCCTTATAGCTGTAAACAACAAAAGTATTAAAAAGCTTATCAGTTTAAAATATAGTGACTTTATAATTACAACCAATTTCTTAACCATAAATTCATTCAACAATTTTTTAATTTATCTTCTTAATGCAAGAAGTCTTGCCTACAAACTTGACAATTTTTTCTATACATCAATTCAAACAAACTTGCTTTGGTTTGCATAATTTTTTCAATAATAAACTCCCAAACTCCATGGTCTGTCCAAAAAATTATTTCATTTATTGTGAGGACCGGATACAAATTTGTGGAGGTGTAGCTATATACTGCAGAAATACTGTTAAACCTCCCTTAGTAGGTATTACTCAAACTGATACAGATACTTACATAATTTGTGTTGATTTAATTTTTGGGTCTAGTAAATTCTGCTTAATGCTACCATAAGCATTGCTTGTTACTGCCCACCATCCTATTCTTTTGATGATTATATCAATCTTGAATCAATGATATCGATAATTAGCAATCCTGTGAATCTGTTCCTCAATTTATCATTGTTGGATATTTCAACTTACCAAAAACTGATTAGCTTAACTATATTTTGCCAAATAAAAAATGTCATAATCATTTTTTAACTTTAGTTAACAGTCTTGGAATGCACTAACATGTACTGGAGCCCACTTGAGAAAATAATATTCTTGATCTTGTTCCTTCAAATATCATTTCATTATTAAGTAATATTTCTGATGAGTGTCCATTTAATACAAATAACCATAACTCAGTCCTTTTTCATAAAGAAGAAACAACTGAAGAAACAACTGAAGAAACAACTGGAGAAACAACTGGAGAAACAACTGAAGAAACAACTGAAGAAACAACTGAAAAAACAACTGAAGAAACAACTGAAGAAACAGCTGGAGAAACAACTGAAGAAACAACTGAAGAAACAACTGAAGAAACAACTGAAGAAACAACTGAAGAAACAACTGAAGAAACAATTGAAGAAACAACTGAAGAAGCAACTGAAAAAACAACTGGAGAAACAACTGAAGAAACAACTGGAGAAACAACTGGAACATCTTTTCTGATCATCTTCGTAAAGGCATTAATCATTTTGCTCCTATCAGAACAATATATCATAAGAAAAAAAGTTGTTCTTATCCAAAGTATATTTATAAAATGCTAATTTGCAAATCATATTTATGGAAAAGATGGTCAATCACTAAGAATCTTGCACAAAAAGGCATTTATCAAATATGCATCAAAATGTAAAAAAAACATATTCAGTCATCATAAAAATGTGGAACTAAAACTTGTCAAAGAAAATAACTCTAGTAAGTTTTTTAGTTATGTAAATAAAAGTCTACGCAACCTCCAAAAAATATATACTCTAAAAATCAATAACAGCTTTACAACTAGCAATGTTAAAACTGCTGAAGTGTTAAACAAACACTTTGGAAGTGTTTTTACTGTAGACAGAAATTTGCCTAAAACAAATACTTTTGTTAGTGAATATATTAAGATGGATTTCATAGATATTTCAGCAAAGATAGTTTATCATAAACTAAAAAATCTAAAACCTAGCACATCAGTTAGCACATATAACATGTATTCCGCTTTTGTATATATTCAAATAAAGTTTTATGTCAAGCTTGTTACCAAAACAGCAGATCCACTTTAGATGCTAACAATTATAGAATGATACCCCTCACATGTACTAGCTATCTTATCATAAAAAGTATTGTTAGTTCAAATACCGCTGATTATCTTAATAAATAATCTAACAACATAATAAATAATCTTACAACACCTAATCAACACAGCTTTTTATCCAAAAGATCTACACACACAAATCTTCTAGGTTCAACTAATGACTGGAATAAAGCTTTAGATAGCAATCTATTTACTGACATGGCGTAAATTGAGTTTCAAAAAGCATTTGACTTTGTACCTTATCCAAAACTTTTGAAAAAACTTACAATGTACGATATAATAGATAACCTCTATCATTAAATATCAGCATTTCTTTCCAACAGATATCAAAAGGATTAATGAATGGTAATTGCTCTCTGATGTTATATGCCAACACTAGCAAGCTATATAGTTCATTTAAAGATGTTGATTACAGTCAAGATTTTGCTGTTGCCATTTACAATCCTTCCCTGAATGCGTGTGCGGTTGCACGCCTTGTTTGTCTACATTTAAAGTAATTCTTTTAGATACACTGACCACAGCAGTTCATATCTTTTAACTTTTAAAGCGTTTCAATAATTCATGCCATTAAGCTAAACTTATCTACTGAGAAAAAACAACAACCATACTTAAAAAAAGAAAACAACTTTGTAACGAAATATCAAACTTTTAGTTAAATAAACTAGAAAAATTTAATAATTATAAAGAGAAAATATCAAAAAAAAAATTTTTTTAATTTCTAAACAATTTTAGTATTCTTTTTTTTTAGGGTGGTTGTTATTTTAAGCTACAGAATTTGATACAAGTTGAGAAAAAAAAACATATTATATTTTATAACAATTTAACAACATTTGAAAGTTTTGATATCAATTTATTAACGATTTTTATCAGTCTGTATAAACTAAGAAACTAGTTTGCACTATGTACTAATGTACGCTAGAACTATGAGAAACTTTATTAGTTTTTTTTTTTATGTTAATTTGCTTTAACATCTCTTTGCTTTTAAAAATGTTATTGCTATATTTGACATTTTTTCTCAATACTAATATAAGAGGAAAATAAGAAAATAAACTGCTATTTATTTGTAAAATATATTACTTGATTAATAACTTTTGTATGATAGAAAATATTAAATAAAAGAATCGCATGGTTACTTTTATAAATGTATTTACCACATTTGATTCTTGTCTAAAATTGTTTCCTTTATATTGCCCAATTTCCAACATTAATACAAAATATAAGAGGTATTAAACACAACAATTGCTCTGTTTAAAAAAATGTATTTAAAAACTAAATGAAAAGTTTTAAATAAGCTCCTAAAAATTTTGTTAAAAAGTTCAGTAAATAAACAATGCACTACCCCACAAGCCTTTGCAGCATCGCCAATAAAGTTCATCAGGAAAGAAACTGTTGGGTTTAAATGCCTATTTTGGAGAATCTAACAAAAGTGCAGACAATTTTAATGGGGGTAGTGAAAACAATTAAATCTTTAATATTTGAATATTGGTGTTAATGACTTTTTATTTTCTCACATGAAAAGCTTATTAAAAAAAAATTTTTTTTCAAATAAATAGCAATTAGTTTTCTTGCTTTCTTGAGCGTTGATAAAAACAGTAAAGTTTAGAAAAAACATTT